CTTAGTATGCATCTAATAAAAGAGTTTAAAAAAACATGAAAACAAAAAAAAATGGTCAGAACTAAAGAAGAAAATAGAAAAATTCCACTATTACAGTTAGAGATTAGCCTTTCAGAAATTGACAGAACTTGTATATACATACAAAATTGGTAAGAAGCCCCATGGGGTGGTGTACACCTGTAATCCCAGTAACTCAGGAAGCTTAGACAGGAGGATCCCAGGTTCCAGGTTAGCCTCAGCAATTTAGCAAGACCCAGTCTCAAAACAAAATATAAAAAAGAACTGAGGATATAGTTCAGTGGTAGAGCACTCCTCGGTTAAATCCCAGCAGGAAACAAAACAAATCAATAAAGACATGGAGGATTTGAGTAATATTAATGACCAAATGGATCTAAATTTATAGTTATCAGAAAATACACAAAACAGCTGCAAAGTACACATGTTTTCTAATGCAAAGAGAATATCCATTCAAGATAGATTCCATGTTGGACTACAAAAATAAAAGTGTCAATAAATTTCAAAGTATAATTTTTTATAAGTAATTTTTTAATATTTATTTTTTAGTTTTAAGTGGACACACTATCTTTATTTTACATTTATGTGGTACTGAGGATTGAACTCAGTGCCTCAAGCATGCTAGGCGAGCACTCTACCACTGAGCCACAACCCCAGCCCATGAGTAATAATTAATGAGGTGGTTTGGTTATTTGTTTCATATTCTGTGGATTTTCTGCATTCTCTTATGCTAACATGAGGCATTTCTTTCTTTTTCTTTTTCTTTCTTTCTTTTTTTTTTTTGGTGGTGGTGCTGGAGATTGAACCCAGGGCCTTATGATGCTAGGCAAGCCCTCTACCAACTGAGCTATATCCCCAGCCCAACATGAGGCATTTTCTTCCAAGTCTGCAAACAATCATTATTTGCTTATTAGGCTTTCAGATATCTTGCCAAGATTAAGACAGAGTTCTTCAATCCCCTACCCAACTGAGTTACTTAAACAGAAATGGCAAGGAATAATAAGAGCTTGAATTTAGTCTCCCTATTCTGCTTTTTGCATTTTATTTGGAGATAGGATCATATCAAGGTGCTTAAATCCTCTCTAGAATGCTGAGGCTGGCCTTGAATTTGAGATCCTCCTGTCTTAGAATCTGGAGCTGCTAGGATTACAGGCGTGTGTTTACCGGATTACAGGCGTGTGATTACCGGATTACAGGCTTGTGTTACCACGCATGGATAGTGTGCTTATTTTTTTAAATATATATATATTGATTTATTTTTAGTTTTAGGTGGACACAACATCTTTATTTTTATGTGGTGCTGAGGATCGAACCAAGTGCCTCATGCATGCTAGGTGAGCATTCTGCCACTGAGCCACAACTCCAGCTCCTGGAGTCATTTCTTATCACTAGAATTTATTTAGGTTATGGCTCCTGGACGCAGGACAATGCCTAGCAGAATAGAGTGCTTGGAGATCTATCATTATTGAATGATGAATCAAATGAAATAAAAAGGGTGTAGACACCAAAACTGGTACAGACTGAAAAAAAAATACAACCTTAGCCATTGGAGTTTTATATTTGTTGCTATAATATTTGCACTTCAGAAGAGGGGCTTTGGGTTTATATTTGCATAACAAATTGGCTCAAAAAAATAATTGACCTAGAACAACAGTCTCATATCAGAGTTGAGCTCTAATTGAAACAACACAAAGCACAAAAATCACTGGCCGCTTTGAAATCACACACCCACCTCTCTTTCTCCCCGCCCACAAGGTTTACCAAAAACTCTTGGGCGGTTCCCCCCCTGGCTAAATGTTGACGGCTATTTAAATGGCCAATTGCCATTTAGGTGAGAGTGCTGCCTGCTTGGTTTCAGAAGAGAAGAAGGTGACTTTCACCTTGTGCAACTAGATGCTACACAGGTAACGTAAAATGGGCATTGGGGTACTGGGGTACTGGGGATGAAGTGGAAGGAACACCCCTTAATTTTCTATCAGAGCCACAGGAGCCACCCCAAGTAAAACTTCAGACTAAGAGCCCAGCTGGGTGCGGTGGCGCACATCAATAATTCCAGAGGTTCAGGAGACTAAGGCAGGAGGATAGCAGGTTCAAAACCAGCCTCAGCAATGGTGAGGCGCTGAGCAACTCAATGAGATCCTGTCTCTAATAAATTACAAAATTGTAGCTCAGTGGTTGAGTGCCCCTGAATTCAATCCTTGATACTAACCCCTACTCCCCCTCCAAAAAAAAAAAAAAACAACAAAATTTAAGACTAAGATAACTGAATTTAGCTGGGATTACAAGCCTGCATCCCTATGCACCGCTCTGTTTCTTCCTCTTAAATGAAAAGTGGGAAATAAGGCTAACACTGAAGGGCCTAGAACACCAGGGGTATAGCTCTAAACCCTTAAGTCAGGCTATCGGTGCCCGTAGGTGTGTGCAACCTGGTTTAGAGAGAAGCAGATCGATTGGGGGAGGCCAGAGTGCCAGCTTTCACAGTTCAGGAAGGAAAGATAGTATAGAGTCTAGAAATGGAAGAGAAGATAAATTTATCCGGGCCTGGTGGTACATGCCTGTAACCCCAGTGACTCGAGAGACTGAGGCAGAATCTCGAGTTGGAAGCCAGCCTCAACAATTTAGTGAGGCCTTCAACAATTTATGAAGACCCCGTCTCAAAATAAAAGATAAAAAGGGCTGGGGATGTGGCTCAGTGGTTAACTGCCCCTGGGTTCACCCTGATACAAAAAAAGAAAGAAAGAAATTTTAAAAGGTGAGAAAAAGAAGAAAGATAGACAAGAGATGTATTGGTCAAAGGTATCTGATTGGGCCTCCGGCAATCAACTTCCCCTATGCAGGTCACAGAATTGCATAGGGTTCTGGTGGACTTGTTTATGGTTGGTTGTATTGCTTTTGGCCGAGAAGATGCAAACTGTTATGTGCCTCTTCAAAATAATAGCCCCTGGTTTCTGTCTACTAGACATAGCATAAAATAGAAATTATGAAGGCACTGTGTCTTTTAAAAAAAATCCCCTTTTGTAGCACTTCCTTAAAAACAGCTATTTAATGCAACTCGCCAGTGTGTTCTTGATAGTGATGTCTTGACAATTGTGATATTAATGGCACATCTTTATAAAGGGTTGAAGCGTCTTCCTGGTAAGTACTCAGCTTGTGTTTTTCAAGATACCTTGTAAGAACTGTTCAGTTTTCTCCTTTGGGTGAATGAGTGTTTCTCAGGCTTTTGTCCTATTGTCCTCCTATTAAGTTGCAAGATATATTAAGTCACTGAAGCGGTCAATAATGTTTTCAAGGTTTTTTCCCCTTCCCTTTGGGTTTGTTACTTTTAAGAGTTGTGATAATTTTCTGGAGTATTTTAGTGTAAGACAGCAGGTTTATTTAATTATATAATTCAAAATACAACATTCAGTGCTTCAGTGCTTATGAGTCAAGGAATTATTAACTGAAAGTCACTGATGCAGCTTTTAAAAATTATCCACTACTGATAATATTCATTAAAGATCATAGTTCAAGCAGTGATTTATGGATTTTTTTCTAACTTCTTTTAACTGACTTGAGACAGTGATTTTAAAAAGCTAAATTGAATTTGATTTGATTTTTGTGGTTCTAAGGATAGAACCCAGGGCTTCACACATGTTAGGCAAGCACTCTATCCCTGAACTACATCCCCAGCCAATTGAATAGAATGTTATTGTTTGACAGATTGTATATTTGGATATGTGTAATATTGACAATAGATTACATCTCCTAATTTACAATGTCTTGTTGTATTAGTATTTAATATGAAAGAGTAAGTTCATTGTATTTGCAGGATAAATGTAGGAACTTGTATGAACAGTTGCTGGATTTGTTCACTGAAATGATAGGCAGTATTGGGCCCACTATATTTATTATGTTTCTTAGGTGGGTTGGTTTGTGCCATTCTGTAGAAAGTTGAGTTAAAAAGCATTTTAAGCATTGGTTGGTGTGATAATTGTCTATTGAAAGCAAAACCTAATTCATTTAAAGAAATAAGGCAATAGATAATGTAAAATAACCTAGGATTCAAGAGATTCTGTGAATTGGCTGCATTGGTTAAATTTTATTTGTAATGTAAATCCATTTGTCATGAAAAAAAGAGAAGTCTTGTGAGATTCTCAGAAGGCAAAAGGGGTTTTTTAAAGTCCACTATCATAAAGGAGGGCTATGCTAAGAAATAGGATTTCGATTGTCAAAACTTTTAAATACTCAAAATGTTTAAAAAGATTTTGAAGTACTTGAAATTCCTAAACTATATCCCTGAGTTATTTCTATATTATCAGTGAAACAGTGTGGAAAATTAGCCTTTATTTTTTTAACGTTGAATATTTTTTTTAATTTTTTTTTTTTTAGTTGTTCATGGACACAATACCTTTATTTATTTTCCCTCCTGCAAGAGGGAACCCAAGGCCTCAAATGTGCTAGGCAAGCACTCTACTACTGAGCTATTAACTCTTTTTTTTTTTTTTTTTTGGTATCAGGGATTGAACTCAGGGGCACTTGACCACTGAACTACATCCCCAGCCCTATTTTGTATTTTATTTAGAGACAGGGTCTCACTGAGATGCTTAGCACCTTGCTTTTGCTGAGGCTTGCTTTGAACTCACAATCCTCCTGCCTCAGCCTTCAGCTATTTTCATATTTTAAAAGTTGTAAAGAGGGCTGGGGATGTGGCTCAAGCGGTAGCGCGCTCGCCTGGCATGCGTACGGCCTGGGTTCGATCCTCAGCACCACATACAAATAAAGATGTTGTGTCCGCCGAAAACTAAAAAATAAATATTAAAAAAAAAAGTTGTAATGATAGAAGAGTAATAGAAATATTTGTAGGAAATTCTCAAAGAAAATTCAGATGGTATTTTGGTTTATATGACATTTTCAGAAAATATTTTTAAATAAGATTTTTAAATTCAGAATCAAATTATAAATGCTTAATTTTTAATATTTAACTTTTTTCAGAATTGCCACTTAATTAATGAAGCCATGGTAAGTTGACATTTTAAATCTTTATTCTCCATTTTAAAAACAAAATATTTGGATCAAATTAAGCAATTTGAAGTCTTGGAGACATACTTTAGAAATTAACATGATTTTCAAGTAATGATTCACGATTCTGTTCCACTAAATATGTTTTCTTGACCTCTTTTTTTGCCTTTATTCTTTCCTTTCTTTCTAAATTTTATTTTGTTGACCTCTTTTCCTAAATCAGCTTCCTCAAGTCTGATTCCTTGTTAAATTTTTATAAGAATGCTAAATATTATATTCTAGGATTAATACTTTTCTCTAAATACTATACTTTAGAGAAGTAGCTCTCACCTGGTATTGACTTTGTCCTCAAGGGCACATTTGGAGATAAAAGACAGTGTTTTTGTTTTTACTGAGGATTGAATCAGGGATGTTCTACCACTGATCTTGTATACCCAACCCTTTTATTTATTTATTTTATTATTATTATTATTATTATTATTATTAGGTACCAGGGATTGAACCTATAGGCGCTTAACCACTGAGCCATATCCCCAGCCCTTTTTTGTATTTTATTTAGGAACAGGGTCTCACTGAGTTGCTTAGGGCCTCACTGACTAGCTGAGGTTGGCTTTGAACTCATGATCCTCCAGCCTTAGCCTCCCGAGCTGCTGGGATTACAGGCATGAGTCACTGCACTCGGCCCTTTATTTTTTTGATAGAGGGTTTTGCTAAATTCCTTAGGGTCTTGCTGAATTGCTGAGGCTGGCATGAAACCTGCGATCATCCTGCTCCGAGTCACTGAGATTGCAGGTTTTCACCACCACATGTGACTGAGATGGTTTTGATTGCCACTGGCATCCAGTGCATAGAGAGGGACACATGCTTCTAAACATCCTCTGCACAGGACAGGCCCCCCACAACAAAGACAGCCAAGTCCAAATATCAATAATGTAGAGGCTGAAAATACTATTTTGTATCAGGAAAATTAACTTCATGGGTAATTTCAACTCCAACATTCTGCCATCCTTCCAACAGACTTCTGTTGAACAAGACAAGCTAGGTCAAGCCTTTGAAGACGCTATCGAAGTACTAAGGCATCATTCAACGGGAGATCTTCAACACTCCCCAGGTAAAGATAAGTACTTACTCTCTTCAGCTGGTAGGTCACGTGGCTGGTTGGTCACATACATATGTAAGAATAAGAATAATGATCAGGGGCTCAGGGTTAGGGGGTACGTCAGTGGTAGAGCACTTACCTAGCATATACGAGGCCTTGAATATGAGCTACAGCATCACAAAAACAGCCCGGAAATGTTGATGACGACAATAATGATTTTGCACTGCTAAAGATCAAACCCAGGGCCTCCCACAAACTGGGAAAGTGCTCTACTACTGAACTGTGCCCACAACCGGGGAACACAATTTTCATCTAAAGCACCTAGGATTAATTTTAATGAATGCAAAACATATACAGGGTTATTTAGGCTAACTAAATTTCAAGTCTCATACAAAAATGAAGAGAATGACATTCACATAAGAATACAAATACATAAAATGATTTATTTTTAAGAATGACTGGTGTATTATAATTTCTTTTACTGAGGAGGCCAGATGGGGGCCTCTGAGCCACTGAGCTACATCTCCAGTTCTGAGGCAATCCTCCTGCCTTAGCCTTCCTAGTCACTAAGATGACAGGCATGCACCACTGTGCCAGGCTCAAACTTTAAAAAATTTAAAGAAACTTAGGATGTAGCTCAGTGGTAGAACACTGCAAAAATACACAAAAAAGAATGTCTAGTTGGGACTTATTTGTCTAATTGACATTTTAATTACTCAGGAAAGACTTTTTAATTGTTCTAATTTATCTTACACACCTTTCACCCACCCAACAGATAGTCTATTTGGAAAAAGATGTATTCCCCCCCCCCACACACATTTTCTACAGACTATCTAGTCTAAATAAGATGCAGATAGGTTGCTTGTTGGGTTTATCCAGGGTATTTCAAGAGATTTCCAAGATAAAAGAAATTATGGTGTCTCAGGCTACATGGAACATTGCTCTAAAAAGGGAAATGGATTGTGTTAGAAAATATAATTCTTGCATAATGGAATAAACACCATAGGGAAAGTACAAAGTGGTAAGAAAACAGGAGACAGTAATTGAATATGTAAGCACATGTGTATGCTTTGCCTATATCTACATATACATAAATATAAATATATATGTAAATTTTGACTTTCTGTTTCTATTTTTAACTTAGATTACAAAAATTACCTGACTTTCGTTAACCATTGTCCTCACATCAGAGGAAATTCCAGCTACTATGGAGTGTGTCCTACAGAGGAACCCATCTATAATTGGAGAACTGTGATAGTGAGTATCTTTATCAAGTGATCACATTACCAAGAAGCAGAGAGAGGATTAAGTTCAGCTCACTATATAGAAACCCCCAAAGGCACGCCCTCGAAGACATACTTTCTCTAGCCCTACCCAAGTGATTCTAATCAGGAGAGTAACGCACTGATTAGGTTAAGTTATCATAAACCAATCATTTCACCTCTAAAACCTTTCTGCATTGTCTCACACATGAGCTTTTAGGAGACACATATCCAAACCATAACAGAGATGAAAATACTAAGGGCCATCAGTTGTGATCTGAACTTGACAGTCAACGTGGAGGATCAGCCCCAATGCTGTTAAGAAGGAAGCTACTCTTTGTCATTACTCTTTACTTAGTTCGAATGGACTTCTGTAAAGAGGAGGTGTTTTTAGAGTTCTCATATCACTGATTCTCCTTCATCCATCTGGAGAATTGCAAAGACATCTGGTTCCTTTAAAAGACAGGACCAAGACCCAAACTTCCTCTTCTTTTTTTTTTTCTTTTCTTTTTTTTTTTTTTGTGGATACTGGGAATTGAATGCAAGGGTGCTTTATCACTGAGCCACATCACCAGCCCTTTTTAAAATGTTTTATTTGGAGACAGAGTCTCCCTGAGTTGCTCAGGCCTTGCTAATTGCTGAGGCTGGCCTCAAACTGGTGATCCTCTTGCTTCAAACTCTTGAGCAGCAGAGATTACAGGCGTGCACGACCGTGCCTAGGCTTCTTTTTCTTTTTTATGTTGAGACAGGGTCTTGATAAACCGCTTAGGGCTTCACAAAATTGATGAGGCTGGTCTTGAACTCAGCTGCTATGATTACAGGCATGCGATACGCCACCACGCTGGGCTCAACGTTCTCCTTCTGGCTTTTCCTACAATCTTGTATGAACTTGCTCTTGCTCTGTTTGCTTTCTTGAGCTAGCTACATGTATTGGACCAATTCAATTATATTTTAGTAACCCGCCCCCCCCAAAGGGAGATGTCCCCAGTATCTTTCCATTTGTGGTACTTATTATTTTTTTTTTTTGTGGTATTTGTGTGTGTCACTAGGGATTGAATCCAAGGTACTCTACCACTGAGCTACATTCCCAGTTCTTTAAAAAAAAAAAATTAAATTTTGAGACAGGTTCTTCCTAAGTTTTCCAGACTGGCCTCCTACTTGCAATTCTCTGGCCTCAGACTCCTGAGTGGCCAGAATCATGAGTGTATGTAGCATGTCCTGCTATTCTCTTCCATTGTTTTCTTCATGCAGCTGTTTTATCCAGCAGTCTTAATAAAGGTGGGGTCTAAAGGTAAAATCTTTTTTTTTTTTCTTCAATCATTACCTTCAACTATGGTATGTCCAACATCCCTTTTCTGTCCCTATAAATTGCTCTGTAGGACATTTCCATAGGACATTTAACCTTTGCTAATTTAACCTTTTCTATTTCCACTTAAGGTTGCCAGCCAAAATGTAGAATGCCCAATATTTTTACTTACTAAATCTGGCCATCCTGCTTCCAGCTCAACTCCAAACCCCTAGCATACGCTGAACAGCCACCAGTGGTTAGGGACACCTTGTCTCCTGAGCAGCCTCTTGTGTGGGGTTTGGTAAAATGGGAGCTTGGGCTACTTCCTCCTGTCTCTTCTCTTGAATCCCCCTTCCCTCGGCTGCCATCTTTATCCTCCTGTTGCCCAGATGGGCAGCCAACATCTTCCTGCCAGGTGTGGTGGCACGCATCTATAATCTCAGCAACTCTGAAGGCTGAGACAGGAGAATTACAAGTTAGAGGTCAGTCTCAGCAACTTAGTGAGACCCTGTCTCAAAACAACAGCAACAACAACAACAAATTAAAGGGCTGGAGATGTGGCTCAGTGGTGAAGCAGGATTGGGTTCAATCCTCAACCATCTTCCTTTTTAATATTTAACCATCTTAACTTTTTATATTTAAAACATTTTTAAAATTTTTTTAGTTGTAGATGGACACAATACCTTTATTTTATTTCTTTATTTATATGTGGAACTGAGGATCGAACCCAGTGCCTCACACATGTTAGGCAAGCGCTCTGCCACTGAGCCCCAGCCCCAGCCCTTATTATTTTTGATCTTTCTCATTGGGCATCCTGAGAGGGAAGGAATGAAACAATCCCCTCTCTTTCTCACAGGGAGAGAGGACATGGAACTCTCCTGGTGAAGCCAAAGACTAAGCTCCATCTCTTGGTCCTCTCTTTATATTGGTTTGATGTTATTCTTTAGTGGGCGCTATCTGGCTGCCATTAGGGACAGCAGCTTTTAGAATTTGGGAGATTCTTAGCATTCTTTTTGCTCTTAGCTTTTGATGTTAGCCACCAATTGGGGGCCACAGGAGAACTTCCCACTAACATTCTGTGTATTATTTACACAGAACAGTGCTGCAGACTTCTATCATGAAGGTAATATTCATCAACCTCTGCAGAATATAACTGGAAATCAGTTGGCAGAACCTGTTGTCTTCCAGCAAAAGGGAGTGAAAGGTAAATTGATAACCACACCTTCCATAGGCACAGTAACCACGTCATCCTCATAACAGGTTTAAAGAGATTTCTGTATCTGTGTTTGAAATTGTATTTACAAAATATTCCCTTATAGCCAGCTTGTACACTCTGTACTTGGAAAATTGAGGTGGGAGGATGGATTGAGTCCAGAAGTTTGAAACCAGCCTGGGCAACATAAGGAAACTTCATGTCATAAAAAAATAAAAGGAAAAATTCTCTCATTACAATAGTGATGATTTAACTCTCCCGAGTTGCTGGGATTATAGGTGTATGTCACTGTGCACATGCAATTTTTAAAATTATACATTATATTACTGATTGATTGGTTGATAACAGGGATTGAGCCCAGGAGCACTTAACCACTGAACCACATCCCTAGCCCTTTTATTTGGAGACAGGGTCCCACAGAATTGCTTGGGACCTCACTAAATTGCTGAGGCTGGCCTTGAATTTGTGATCCTCCTGCCTCAGCCTCCTGAGTTGCTGGGATTACAGGCATGCACCACCACGCCCGGCCAAAATTATACACTATTTTAAATGAACATACAAGGGATTGAACCCAGGGCCTCACACATGCTAGAAAGTGCACTAACACTAACATATATCCTTTTTAAATTTAATTTTGAGATAGGGTCCAGCTAAATTGCCTGGGTTTTGTTGTCGTTGTTGTTTTTGTCTGTACCAGGGATTTAACCCAGAGGCACTTAACCACTTAACGCCCTTTTAAAAATATTTTATATTGAGACAGTCTCATTAAGTTATTTAGGGCCTCACTAAATTGCTGAGGCTAGTTTTGAACTCATGATCTTCCTGCCTAAGCCTCCTGAATTTTGAGATTACAGGTATGTACCACCATGCTTAGCTTAAAAGAATACATATTTTGGACTGGGATTGTGGCTCAGTAGTAGAGTGCTTGCCTAGCAAGTGTGAGGCACTGGGTTCAATTCTCAGCACCACATACAAACAAGTGAATAAAATAAAGATCCATCAACAACTAAAAAAATGTTGAAAGAATACATATTTTTAAAATTGTACAGTAGTATACTATACCCTAGAATCGTAAAATTCTAAATATACATTAATACTCTAATCCAGCAAGGAATTACATATAAAATTAAACAAAATCAAACACTAGGGAGTGAAACCAGTATTTTTTGTGTCGTGGAGTTGTGCCCTTAGGGAATACATCACCTACCGTTTTCTGTTTTTAGATTTTAGTCTTCCATTTGAAATAGGGACACATTTGAAATGTGATGAAATATAAAGTATTTTGGGTCTTTGTTCTAAGAAGGAAAATTAGTAGACCCATAAAGTAGAACATATATAATTGTTAAAAGGCTTGAAGGCATTCTGCATGTATTGATACAGAAAAATACTGTAAAATACATTTTAATTATTTTAATTCCATAATTCAAAAGTAATAATGACTCTTAAATTTTTGTAATTGGAACTATTCACAAGTATGTAAAGAATAAGTATTCATTCTCTTCTCAGGTTATACCCAAAGTAATTCACCATGCTCACCTATTTGGTATTTAATCTACCAAATAGAATTTTTAGTTTCAGTTCATACTTTTGATCATTTTTATTTTAAAAAATATTTTTGTACTGGGGATTGGACTCAGGAGCATTTAACTACTGAACCAAATCCCCAGTCCTTTTTATTTTTTATTTTGAGACAAGGTCTCATTAAGTTGCTTAGGATCTCCCTAAATTGCTGAGGTTGGCTTTGAACTTTCGACCCTCCTTCCTCAGGGTCCAGAGTCACTAGGAATACAGGTGTGTGTCACCATGCCTGGCTTCTACCCCCCTTTCTTAAGGAATAAAAATTTATACATTTTTCAAAAATTGAGAACTAATTTTAGAAGATAATGATCTCTTAAGACCAACAAGATAACTGGATAAGAGACAGAAGAGTTTTACTTAGTGCTGTGACTTTAATTCATGATGTGTTTTTGGTAAGTCCCTTGCATTTCTCAATTCACCAATTCAAAATAATATAATGCAAATGATAATCTCTGTGAAAGGTTTGTGGCTTTGGGATGAGTGATGACTGATGCAAGAATTTTACTCCCCAGAGACTGATTAAAGGAGTTTGGGAATCAAGTATTCTATGTTCGCAAGGGAAAAATGGAATTTGTTCATGGATTTTTTTCAACAACTGATGGATCTGTGGGAGCCTTATAGTTACAGGCTAATTCATAAGTCACAAAACAAGCTATGGCTTTTGTTTTCCTGAGTTTTCTATTAGGCCAAAGAATTCTTATCAGCTGGAAAACAAAAAAATAGAAATTCTCTCAAATTTTCCTGCCAAGTTCTTTTGAAATATAAATGGCTGCCTTCATGAAAGGTGCAAAACTTTGGTACCATTTTATTTCATGGCAAGAGAAAAATCAAAATCCCTTTTGTCAGTGCTCTTGAATAATGGCATACATATA